GCAGGGGCAATAACTTCAAGTTAATTATTAATTAAATATTTGTGCTATTTACTGTAGAAATGGATGTACGTACCTAGCTGAAACACGTTCTGAGCCTTAGCCAACGGATCTTATATGATTAACGATTAATCAATTGTACATGTGATCGATATCGGATCCTCCCAGTTACATCGCACAGTTGTCTCTGAAAGTTTAGGACAGTTACACAGAAACATAATAAAAAAATCAAAATTTGTAATACGTATCGGTATTGTATTAATTATGTAATATTAAATTTATATTATGTTTTTATGTTTATTGTGTAACCGTTCTAAACCTTCGGAGGTAACTGTACGCTGCAACTCAATACCGAAGACTAAACATTCTACGTACTCAATATTCAATTAAACAAACATTATAACCTTAATTGTTTTTAGTGTTCTCTCTTTATTCCGATGATTCGTCATAATTCTTTGTAGAATTTTGGACAGATAATCATCATCTGATTGATAATTCTAATTTATAATATTGAATTTATGAATTACTGTAAATCATTGAAACTACGTAGTGAATAGGTTCGGTGAATCGTATTTAAATTTATCATCATGCATATAGATTATTCTTTTAATCAACCAATTAAAATTGAGAAATTTATTAACACAAACATTAGGTGTAATAAGAAACGGTTTGTTCATGAAATTTTAATAGTTGTACAGTATCTTAATGCCCCTAATGCAGGAATGTTACGTAGTATACGATTGCTACGATTGCTCTAGTGGTCTATAGTATGTATTAGCGGTCTAAAGTGCGTATGTATTCAGGTTGTAATAATCTCATGTAACAACATGTAACAAATATTTAATTAATAATTAACTTGAAGTTATTGCCCCTGCTTAAGAATAAAATCTTTATAGGTAATGCAATAAATTTTAGATCATATCACATATGAAAAGATATTTAATTACAAAAATGTACAAAAGTACTTCGGAAAATAAAAAAAAAGTTTAAATCATGAATGTATTTTGGATTATGTTTTGTAAATCTTTGTCTATCCCTTACGTATTTTAGTCCCCTGAAGTTCTAAAATTCTGTCAGACAGTAAATATGTGTAACTTAAAAAATCAGAAAAAAATGGTAAATATGTGTAACTTAAAATCTGAAAAAAATGTTAAATACGATAGAATTTCTACTTTCTTGAATGCATAATTAATTATTATAGATTTAATGAATTCTGATAACTCTAAGATTCATTCTGTTGCATCTTGCAGCTCAAAGGAAAAACGTCGAACACTTTCTTTAGAATTTATTGATGATGATAGAAGTATAATAGAAGATATAGATGAAGTTATTTCCCCTCTTTTGAGTAAATTTAAAACAATAAACGGAAGAGATTTCTTCGATATAGAAGATTTAAATTATATATTACCATCTGATAAGTTAGAAGCTGAAAGAACAACATTGGCACATGTACTAAATAAGCATGTCTGGAAATGTAACTTTCGCTCTCCAATTGAGGAAAAGTTGAAAAATGGCGGTGCTAAAGTACTTGAAATTGGGTAAATATATTTTTCACTATATATATATATATATTTCATATGATATTATATTTTTCATTATGTGATATATATATATATTTCATATGATATTATATATTTCATATATATTTTTATTTTATTTATACCAAAATTAATGTTTTAAAATTTAAAAAGATGTGGTTCTGGTAATTGGATAATTGATATGGCAACAGAATTTCCATCTTCAACATTTATAGGAATTGATGTAGATTCATCCTTCTTTCCTCCAAGTGATAAATGTCCTCCAAACGTCTGTTTTCTTACATGTAATGTAACTTTTGGAATCCCATTTCCTATGGAAACTTTTGACTTTGTTTATCTAGGCATGATGTGGTCTGCATTCACCGAGTCACAATGGTCTGAGTTGATTAAAGATATTGTCAGAGTCTTGAAATATGATGGTTGGATTGAATCTTTAGAAGCAACCGCCCATTTTCAAAATTGTGGAAAGGTTACAAAATGGATAGAAGAAGCTGGTTAGTACAATACTTAATAATGCATTTTATGCTTTCTGTTAATTCAAAGATAAATAAATAAATAAATAAAATAATTCAATAAATAATTAATTAATTATATTTGAATATTTTATTTATTTAGCCTGTAAAGCTTGCATGAAAGAAAAAGATGTTAATATTCGAATTGGTGCTTTGTTAACAAAAATGTTTGAGTCAAATGAGGAGCTTAAAAATATACAATATGTTAAAGTAGAATATCCAATAGGTGAATGGTTTGGATGTTTTGGCAAATATGTAAGTAAATAATTTCAATAATAACGTATACTATGATATATTTTAATCTATTTTAATATCTCTTTTTTAATTTGTAGTCAATGAGCAATATTCGTAGAATATTCCAAAGTTTTGTTTTTCTTCCAGAATATATGGGTGTAACTCATGACGAATATATTGGTTTGTTGAACACCTTTGTTAAGGAAGCAAACGAAAATAAGACTTATACTCATCTTCAGAGATGTTTTGCCAAAAAAACTTGGATTGATGAACTTTAGATTTTATTCTTTTACTGTATTTATGAACTTTAAATTTTATTCTTTTACTGTATTTATGGTTTTTGAATTAATATATATGCTATAAGTTTTAGAATTATGATTTATGATTTTAAACTCATGTATATACATTTTAATATCTGACATAGACTTATTAAATCATATTTAACTAAAGCAATCACTTATGAATTATGAATTTTTTTAAAATTTTACCGTATTACGTATTCTATGAAATGTTTTAAAATTTTATTTATTATATGCTATATGAAAAATGCTCTATACATAAAAATAAACTATCAATGTTCCAATTAGACGAGTAAAGTTTTCCACTAATTGTTATTTTTCTATATAATATGTCATTGCTGCAATTTGATTGGATGTCATATATTTCACGTGACATAATATCATTGGCCAAATAATTGGACTAATATCTAGCGGCAATATACTATTAAAGATGATATTTGTTTGCCTAGATTTATGTCATGAAATGATATTATCTGTATAGATCATCAACAATATCACATACGCACGTACGTACGTACGTACGTACTAATATCTGATATTAGTCGTACAAAAATAACTGAATGCCTTCACCAGTCAATTTCACACGTGTGCTGTCATGCAGCTCATTGGCTAGCGAAAATTTCTATCACATACCAATAGTTTATAACGGGAATCTATATACAGGTTTGATTATTACCTGCAAATTTATCATAGAACTTATTCCTAATCCGGTAATTCGGTAATTCGCCGTTTTTTTTTTGTTGATCGTAACATGATTACTAAGAGAAATTAGACGTCACTAATACAGTAAATGCTTATTGATTCGAATTGGATTACAATTTTAAATTTATACAAATTAAATTATATCATACAAGGAAAACAGAAGTTAATGGAATTACGTATTATTTATTTTATAAAAAAAGTCAAGATCCGCACAAACCTCTTAATTTAATTAGGCGAGATTGGTGTAATGGCCCTATTCGTCATATAATATCAAATTTTTACATATCGTTACATATTTATTATCCAATATTGGAAACAGAAAATAATTATTGCAGAAATTATCTATTTTAATAAAAAAAACAAGTAAATCTTCGGTGATCCGGTCAAATATTTATGCAGATGAATGATAATCACTGATTATCATAGACGAAAGATCATCCTGAATTTTCGATTTTTATTTTAAACTAGAACTTGCGAATGCGGGCGGCTTCGCCGCCCGGTATCATTATTTAAAATCATTGGTTTTTATTATTCACATG